ATTATATATAGAATGGGACCAGTAAAGTATAGAATGGGACTAGGAACCCTGGTCTCATTTGTGTTGTCAAAAAGTAACAAAATTTGGTAACAGTCCTAACATAATTTTATTAATTTATTCAACTTCAGAAAAGTACCAAAATTTGGTAATGCTCTTTGCATAATTGGATCATATTACAAGCTATTAGCTACTTGAGTCTATCTATTAATAACATTGATGTATTTCCTGTTTCTCATCTGGATTAAGTAGTAGATTTAGCAAGCTTGCAATCTCTTCCCATACAATCTCTGAAGTATCTTGATCATCTTGATTATCTTAGATAACTTTCTTGGCCAACTTCTCATGCAATATGAGTGCTTCATTCAGCATATACATCTTATCTCTATATTTAAGCAGCATGATCTTCTTGATTATAAATGCATGAAGCCACAATCATTAATAATAATATGTATCTCAAGTAACATTGAAAACCTGTTCTATCCCAACTTCTGTTAAAGATATAGTCAGAATGTCTCTTGCCATCTAAGTAACAGTTGGAAAATCAGACTCTAGCATTCTTCACTGTTCCAGAATTGGAGCTTGAGGTGATGTCAAATTCTTATTATTTAAATATTACTTCATTTCATTTTGGAAATTTGCTTGTCTTTAATAGAATCTCTCAAAAATCATTTGCTCAATATTCTAGAGAAGTTAGCAGAGAAGAAATCAGAATAATACTTATAATAAACATACATCATTCACATTAAGTATTACTTCTCTTGACTATTCATATTTCTCATAATACTTTTTGTAAAACCTCAAAATATATTGTTAGTATATTTCACACTCATTACTGGTTCAATCCTCTGAATTATATGCTCTCATGCAGCATGATGAATGAAGGGCAGCAGCTACAGCTAGCAGCTCACTCTTTAAATGCTTAGTATTATCATAGTATTTCTGGAATTTCAAGTTGGCAGCTTTGATAGCTTCTTGAATATTCTTTCTTGTTATTAACTGTTGGATCTTGTTCTCCTCTCTTTCTAAATGCTGGAAAAGATGATTGTACATTGCCCATACCAGATAAATTATTGAGTCTGTTGTTTTGGACAGTATCTTGATAAATCAACTGACTGACTGCAACAGTTCAATTATATACTCTAGCTGCTTTCAGTCATGGTTTAATAAGTAAAGTCTTTGATATTTTGATGATGAGTCCTGAATCCATAAGTTTACAGCTTGTTAAAGTAACAAGACATGAACACACATCTTATAGATGGAATTCCATCTTGTGCAAACATCTTAAATCATCTTGTGCTGGTTCTCTTGTTAATATTGAAGTGGGGTATGATGGGATGTCTCATCAAAGTAGGCAAGTTGGTTGAGATGGTGAGAGTGCAAGAAGGATGAAAAATCACAACATAGTAAGAATGATAATGGCTGAGTAGTAAGAATAGAGAAGCATGCCTTAACAGACATCTAAGCTTATAAGAAATAATAGTACTAAAGAGTCTGTACTAATACAGACAGCTCTAATAAGAAATAGTAGCAAGCTTTATGAACAAGAGATCTTCATATTCTCTAACTAATAATCAAACTAGCAATAAAGAATGAGTGTGTAGAAAAGTATAAAGATGCATGAAGGTATTGAGCAAGATGCAGAAACTATAGATGATTTATATAACTTAGAGATAGTAGCTGGAGAGGTTTTGCATCTCAGACTGGAACAATCTTTGTTCTAATATGATACCAGAATCTCCACTACATTTTCTCCTGGCTTTTAATATTGATGTCCTCTGACAACAGGCAACATATGAAACAAAACAAAGACAATTTAGTAAAGAAAATAAGAGACTAAGAATTAGTAACAATCTGGTAAGAAAAGAGATAGAAAATAAGAATAAAGAGAGTGACAGCAGCAATCTCTAATAGTAATCACCATGATTCTCTTCTTCTACCAAGTTCTCAGAAGAAGGAGAAGGCTGAACTGATGCTGGATTAATATTGTTGTGCATGCAATGCTAATAAGATTTGTTACCAAAAGCTTTCTTTTCAATTTGATATATCTTGATAATGACATTCAAAGCAATTCATGTGGTCTTTAGATGCCAGTTATTAATGAAGTTCTGAGCCTTCTTCTCTTCTGGTTCAAAGAGGGTATCAAGCTCCTCAATCACTATAGAGTTATTCCATCTAATTCAGTCTACCAAGACATCTGATATAGCTTCTAAGCCTTGCAATTGAATAGCAGTAGGGAATTAATATGAAACTGATGTGTAACAGTTTAAATGGCTGGAAGATAATGATGGCTCTGAAACTAGATCTCTATGTGTGGTGGAGAGCTGTGATCAGGTACCAGCTTTATTGACTTCAAGATGTTCATGGTTCTTCTGGATTGCCACATACCAGGGTAGCATAGTATGCTGGACATTTTTGCATGGACTGTGAGCTCCATGAAGCAGCAGAGAGCTTGTAATTCAGATATTACCAGGTTTGCAAATGATGTCAGTCCATCTAATATCAAATTTTCTTTTATCATTTTTGATATACATTGTATTCTTAATGCAGTAAATATAGCTATCAGTGGATAAGCCTTGTTCTTTAACTAGTTTCCACCAATTCTCTAGATGATTATGCATTTCTGATAAGATTTCTGTACAGTTGCTGGGCTCTTCTGCTGTTAAGATCAAGAATTCTTGTATCATGTTAACACCCTTTTCAGTAGTAATAGCATCTGGAACATTGATATCAATATGGTGAAATCCAGTTTTATCCCCTGGCTTAGCATACTTGATATAATATGGATAGGAGATTAATTTCCAAGTGTGGTCAGGTCTTGTCAGCACATACTATAGATAGTATACAGAGTTCTGGTGCATGAGTTATTGGCTAATACTGTAGTATATTGTTCTCAACCATTCATAATTGTTACAACCTTCCATCATTCACTAATGATGATAGTATATATTATATTCACCATTGACCTGAGTAAGTACTGTAGTGATGGTATCTTGTAACTTATCATTTCATCAGTGCATTAGCTGGAGAATAACAACAGATTTAGTGATCTCTCATTTCTTCTGAAGATTGCTGGTGGTGAACTTGTTAACTCCAGTAATCTGTGTGTATCAGTTAAAGTTGAATGTTCTCATATTTGTGACTAGAGAGATAATTGGCTGATGTTTGAATTTGTAAATATCTAAAGCATCTTCAGCTCTAGCTGGTCTATTTGTCAAACAGAATCAGAGATAGATGCTGTTATTGATCTTGACTGAGCCAATATTGCAACAATTTCTATGAATGTAAGCCAAACAGTTGAGAAGCTTCTCTCTATTAAGTGTGCAAGTCTGCAATCCAAGTTTTGAAGCTATTAGTTTTGTATAATTATAGTATAGGTAGATATCAGCTTTCTTATCACTAAATGTCTTTTCTAATTGCTTCAGGATGTGAATAAGCTTTAATTCTGAACACATTTTAATACTCTTTATCTTTTGCAGGAGTTGCTGTTCAAATTCATGACAACAGCAAGTACCAGAGTATACTGTCATGACAGATTCTTTATACTTGTGTCAAGATATCTCTTCATCACTTTCAGAAGAAATAACAGACTCATCATTATTATCTAAGTCTTGAAGTGTTTGGTGTGCCAATATAACTGCAATTCTTTCACTGTGGTGCTTTGGAGCTTCTGATTGGCTGGATGGATTGGCCAGCATACTGGTGAATTCAAATGGTGGCTGTGATTGGCCAGTTTCAAATTCATGTGATCTAATTAACATTGTGCTATGTATAGAGGCTTCTGACATGTTGTGGCTATATAGTATAGACATTCCACTCATTGGAATGTCTCTTGATGATCTTGGAGACTGTAGTTCTTCCAGTAGACCTCAGGAGCTGCTTGCAGTGGAAGAACTTCTAGTGATATTCTGAATTGAATGTTGGGAGCTGGATGACTGTAGAAGAGCCAATGACTGTAGAAGACTATAGTTGCCAATGGTAAGACCCTGTTGGTATAGAGCATCTCTTGAAGAAAGTTTGTATATATAGTCAACTTCTTTATTAGCTGTAGTATAATTGCCTGGCAATATAGCTAAGCTCTGGTGATATCCAGCTCCTGTAGCATCTAGTCTTTGGAGCACTGTGCTGTTAATATTATTGGTGAACTTATCCCAATTCTTGTAGATATTTAGGATATGGTGAAGCTTTTGTGCTGTCTACAGGCTCTCCACTTTTAATTATATGGTATCAATTCTGTCAATACTCCATATAGTGACAAGTCTATTCTTGATCTTTTGCATATCAATGCAATGTTGTTTGACATCCAGAGTAACCTTTCAAGCATCATGGAAATTAGTGTTGAAATTGGTGTATGTAATGTGTTGTCAAGCTCTGGATCTTTTAACATATTGATAGAAATGGGTCACTAAGTCAGTAACCACATCAGTCACTCACATCAGTGTGTTCATTAGTTTGATCTGTAGGCTGTAGCAATGGTGTGGAGCTTGATTATTGATATATTTCATAGCTGCTGTTAGATTATTAAAGAAATAGCCATTCAGGTTAACTTCACTATCTCTGGTAATGACCAGGTCTTGGTTTTCAGGTGCAGGAGCTAGAGGAGGCAAGTTGCTTTGTCCAGTCATTTTGAAGAATATTGGTGATCCAAAAAGAATTGCAAATGTCAGAATAATAAAATAGAAGGCAAGAAGAAGTGTTGAAAATGTTAAATCTGTGAAAAGAATCAAGCTTGAATGTAAAAGACAGTAGAAGCTTCAGAAAAGAAAAATCAGTCTTTAAATATCTTCTGAAAAATTTAGAAAAAGTGAAGACTTCTGTAAATAATAAAGAAAGAGAAACTTCCCAAATAAGCAAGCAAAAACTTCACTTTGCAGGCAAATAAAAGAAATCTTCTAAAAGAGCAAGCAAAAACTTTACTTTTGCAAACAAAATACAACAAATTACACATCTTGTGGAGGTATAACAACAGCAAAGCTTCAGTTATCTGATATAACAGTTGATAATTATATTTGCTTCATTTCTTCTTGATCATTTTCATTTTTGCTCTCACTCTGATCTTGGTCATCCCCTCTATTCAAGAAGCTAATATTCAAGAAACTACTAGAGAGAATATTAGACTGGCTTCTTGTGGCATATTTTTGAGAAACATTCTCCATCTCTTTATCTGAATCTGCTGGACTATCACTAAGCTGCTTCATTTCAGATCTCATAAGGTACTTCTTTAATCTGCTTTCTGCAATAGATTCTTTGATTTCAGTGCTGTCTAACTTTTCAAGATGATAGAAATCTAGTTCTTGATTGATGGACTTAACTCTATAGAGTTCTAGCCATTGAAAGTGCAGAGTGTTGTTTCTAGACATATTCTGTTCTTCTTTGATATTGTGAAGCAAGACAAGGTCTCTGAATTAAAGAGAGTTGATCTGAATATTATGGGTATCATTAAAGTATTTCTTATTCTTAGTGTGCATTTGAAGCTGATGATGTGCTGCTTCCAGAACATTCTCATCTTGTCATTTAATTTGATGTACATACATCAGAAGAAGGTCTTCAGTCATTTAGACATTTTGCTATGGAATTATTTATCAAGTAGAAATCTTGAGTTCAACTGGAAGAACTGCCTCCTGGCCCATTAGCAATCTATAAGAGAAGATACCAGTACTAGCCTTAGTTATTATTTGATCTGCCATCAGAATTGCAGAAAGATGTTTAATTTAATCTCTTTCAGTACTATTGGTGGCTTTAGCTAATTTATCAGTCAAAGACTTATGACCAACTTCCACCATACCATTTACAGAAGAATTATAGAGTGAAATAATAATGTGTTTGATGTTGAATTTCTTCAGTAAGATCTCCACAATATTCTTATTCTCTGATTCTCCATCCATAACAAATTTGGCAGGCAGGCCCCATTGACAGATGATATTCTTATAAAGAAATTTGGCTACAGCTTCAGCTGTTGCCTTCTTCAATGCTCTAGCTTTCATCCATTCAGTGAAGTCACATCTTACAACAATCAAATAATTTCATTCTCAACAGAAAGGCATGTGTTTAATATTTACTCCAACTTTCTCCCAACAGATAGAAGTCCAGATAGAATGAAGCTCTTCACTTAATCTTTATAAATCTCTTTATTAATATTGAGAACAGTGCTTCACATAAGCAGACACATCTTTATATATTTCTGACCACCAGTATTGAGCTTGTAAGATAGAGTATGTTCTCTCTTGCTCTTTATGGCCAAATTTATCATGCATCATGTATAAAATTTGTTTACATTATTCTTTGTTGTCCACAATACATCTTAGAGATACATCAGATTCTGCTTGTCTAAATAGTTAATCAGTCTCTACTATATATTTAATTACTTTCTTTTGAAATCTTGTGTACTTCTTTTCTTTCATGCCCAATGGTTTTGATAGAGTAGTTAGATATTGTGCAATTTTCTCTGATTCTTCTGAATATGTGGAGTCCAGTATCCTAAGGTCTTCACTATTGAGAGCTCAGCCAGCTAAAACTCTTATAGAATTTATAAAGGCAAACAGATCTTTATCTTCTTCAGATTCAGATTGTTCTCCAGTATCTAGTTCTCAGCAAGACAGTCTGTCAGCAGCTGTATGTTTTGTCCCAGGAACATGTTTAACAGTAAAGTTAAAGAGATGTATTCAAGCTATTCAATTAGTAATCAAAGCTTCTGGAACATCTGTAGCAGTCCTATTAAGTTGGGTGACAAGAGTTTTTGCATTGATTTTCAAGATAAAGAGTACTTTATAGATATGGTGTCAGAATTTCTTGAAGACTTTTAAAACAGCTCTGCATTCTCATTTGCCAGCATCATATATTTTCTCTGAATTATTCCATACTCTGAATTTGTATTGTGTAGAATGTTGAGCCTCTTATTGCTTCTAAATAATGCATTCTTCCCATTCTAATCTACTGGCATCAACAGCTACAGTGATAAGCAAAGGATCTTGTCCATAATTGATTGGAAGAACAATAGAGAATAAATATAACTTTTTCTTTAAAAGCATAAAGATGTCATTTTGCTCTTCAGTTCATGACCATATAATATTTTATTGAAGCAGATAATGTAAAGGTTTAGTTATCCAACTGTAATGCTTTATGAGTATTCAGAAATATCCAGCAAGCTCTAGAAATTCTCATAATTCTGTAATACTTGTAGAAGTAGGCTAATTTGCAATTTTAGCTATTTTAGTTTCCTCAGATCATCATCCATCATAATTACAGATCCATCCAATGACATTGACTCCAGACATGCAGAATTGAGATTTGGTGCTGGAGATTCTAGCTCCAGAGATTTTGACAAGCTATAGAATATAGTTCAGGTTCTGCAGATGATCATAAACAAATCTTCTTATTTCTGAAAGAACTTCAGTTTTATCTTTAACATATGATTTCTTTACTTCAAGATTATTCATAAAGGCTTGAGCAATCTCTGGAAAAACTTCTCATATAATTTTCATTATCCTGTGTTGGGCTTGAGCTGGTGAATTTGTTGCCTCTTGAACTAAAATTGTATGATAAAAGAGCTCAATAGAGGTTGCAATGGCTGTCATATTTCTGCTCTCTTCAGCTAATGAAAAATTATTGTATTCAGAGAACAAGTTGCATAGACTAGCCATAACAAGTTCACTAAAGTCTTCAGCATATTTGTTAATATTAGAAGAAATAAAAGCATCTTGAATAGTAACTTTGTTATACATATGTGCTGTATTGACTAAATGATATTTGCCTTTCTGTTTCTTTACAACTAGAAAATAGAGGTTAGTATATAAATTATGGCAAGACTCCAATATTTTAGCTTCTAACCTGTTCTGAATGATTTTAATTAACTTATCATGTAGAGCATGAGAAATTCAGTAAGTCTTAGTCTGCCAAGCTTCATGAGGCTCTGTCTTAATAACCTGCAGAGGCAAGCATTCAGGATGAATGCTATATAGATCTTTGAATGATCATGCCAATGCTTCTTCATATTTATAAAGAACTGATATGAAAAATTTCTTCTTTCAACTTGTTAGTTCAAATCCAATTTTGAGCTTCTTAATTCTCTTATTTGTTAGCTGTTCTCTAACAGGAAAAGGCACAATTCTAGATCTAATGTGGTTATCAAATTTACAATTAAATACAACATATTTCTTCTCAGAATAATACTTATCCAAACAAATATTCATTCAATTATCTAGATTTTTCAGTTTGCTTCCATCAAATTTTCCAGGTGCTAATAGTCTTATCTTATCAGCTTTCCACTTATAAGCAGTACACACTCTCCAGACTTCTGAAGAAGACAGCCTGATGTTCCAGCCACTATTAAAAATGTCAACTTGACACAATTTCTTTATAACAAAATTGTGATTTTTGTTCAGAGATGTGTAAATTAATTGAGCACTTCATGGAATAGGTTTTTAAATTAAGCTGGAATTAATATCTTATGTATAATGTTTACAGTGAGCCATAACACTGTCTGGATTAGGAAGTGGAGGACAGAAAATCCAAACTTCTAATGTAAAATTATTCTTGTTCTCTGATTGGTTCATTTAATTCACCAGCATGCTGGTTAATTTAATTAGGCTTAGCATGCTTTTGGATTCACCATCACTGGAACTATATTTCTTCTTATCACTATAGTTACCAATACTGATACTGCTGCCAACACTTCTGACTTCTCTATTCTTTTCAATCTCCTGACCTTCAACCTTCTCATTATTAATTCTTATATCTATTGTCTTCATCACATTTTCTTCATTCTCATCAGGCCTTGTATCCACAGGCACCTGCCTGATTAAATACCTGTTGAATTGTTTAAATAATTACTGTTTAATTTATCAGTTGTATATCTCATGTTGCTCAAGCTTGGCTTAAAGCCTTCAAAAACTAGACAACACATTCATTTTTCATTATAAATTTCACAGTTCACTTCTCTGTCATCTGAGGTGTTGCATCTCCAACAGACAGCAAATTGCCAAGATCTTTCAAGAATAAGTTACTGATTCTCTCTCTCAAATATAAGAAAAGGGGTATGAGTAATAATATCTTCAATCTGAACAGACACTTCATCACAAAATGTATAAAAAGAAGTGACTTCTCCTATTTGAATAATCATGGTCACTTGCAGCTTATTTTCTATCAGCAGATTCAACATTTCAGTATACTTTCAAGACAAGAAATTAATTTCTGAACCAGTATTAATCAACACCATTAATTCTTGTTGATTTATAGTGACTGGCACATATAATAAACACATTCCATATGCTGTTTTGGATTTTGGTACCATGAGCTTTAATGTAAGTCAACCAGAATTGATCTTTAGCTCAGACTGAACCAGTTCAGAGACTCCAATCTTTATATGGCTTTTGCTAGTACTGTTATTCCAATCTGATCCAAAGAACACTCAATAAAGCTTCAGCAATACACTTATAAGCTTCTTGACTGACACTTTGATCTTCTCATTGAGAATTCAACCCATTAATTCATTGGCATCTGTTGAATTGTGGATCTGAGAGAATAAACAATCTGTTGCAGAATATCTTGATCTTTGTTTCTTTATAGTCTTGTTCTGAATTTCAGGCTTCTTCTGATTAATCAGTTCAATGTCTTTCATGATATTATTATTGACACTAGCTTGATTATCCTGGTAGATAATAAATTATCCAGTATACTGAGTATGAGGTGTTGCAATCTTAGCTTTTTAACTGTTCTTAGCTTCTCCAACAGTTTCAACATTAACTGATGTTCTTTCTTCCAGTAGTTCATATTTCTTATCTGAATCAGATTCTTCATCAGATATTAGATATGCAAGTTGTTCTGCTTGAACCTTCACACTGGTTAAATTTGCTGAAGATATCTCTTCTTGCTGATTGGTCTTCTTTTTAGGGCTTGTCAACTCCAGAATTGCTCATTCATCCTCTTCTATAGATCATATAATATACATGTTTGGTATTCCAGGTTTAGGAGTGACAACTTGATAGTTTTGATCAGAAGAATCTATGTGCAAGTTCTCTTCATCATTAATATAACAGAATCCATTATTCACATCAGATTGGTATTTATAATACTGAGATTGACAGTGTTCAGATTTTCTACAGTAAAAGCATGAGGGACATGTTGAAATTTCTCCAATTCAAGCTTCTCCTCAGCCACTAGAACAATAGCTTGTCATCAGCAAATCATTTTGAGTTACATAAGGATTGACTAATTGTGGTTGGGTGTTCTCTTGTACTATTACAGAATTAGTAGTCACATTTGTTGTATAATTTAATATAGGTTTCAGAGGCCCTTCTCTCTGCAGTATATAGTACTGATCAGAATTCTCTTGTATCTGATTTGACTGTACTCTCATGACCAATGTTAAATTTATAAACTCATTAGTCATCTTTTCAATTGTAGCTTTAATATTGGTGCTCTCAGAGCTCTTGGCTTTAAATTTCAATTCAGATTCTTCAGTCTTCACAGAACTAGCTGTTTTCTTCAGAGCCTCAACTGTAGAGAGTTTGTTAGCTAATTAATATCACTCATCAAGCTTCTTTATTTTCTTCTGCTTTATTTTATCTTCTTCAAAGACCTTCTTATTTCCTTTATACTGGTTAATTAAATCCATGGTCACTTAAACAATCTTCCTAAAATCAATAGGTGATATATCATCTGAAAGATTGAGCTTTGCCTTGTCAATAATCTTATTCTGGAGCTTTTTAGACAGTCTTTGAAGGAACCAAGACATCTTAGTGAATTTATCAAGTCTTCCATTGACTTGTACTGTACTGATAATAGTAGTGTATTCTCAAATATAGATACAAATGTTGCTATCCCAAGCATGCAGTTTTTTTGTAATTGCTTAAAGATAATTCCAACAGTGAATCTTGTAAGTAATATTCTGATCATAAAATTCATGAATAATCTCTTTAGAGAATACTTTCTAATTATCTTTCTTGTAGTCTTCTAAGGTCTTCATCCATTCTCTAATTCATGTAACACAGTATCTAGCCAACCATTCAATAATGTTCTTAGAGTTAATTACCTCATGATTCTTGCACATTTGATAAAATCTTTCAATAAACAAGATAGCATCTCTGCCATCAAATCAAGATGCATTTGCCATGCCAGAGGAAGGTATAGAAATGTGAGAGTGAACCACAATTCTCCTGTTCTCATCTTGTGATATAGTTGTGTACAATCCTGTAGTACCTTCAATTATAGTTGATTCTGATCCTGACTTCTTGATTTCTTGATCTTTGGTCATGTCATACAGTATGTTCTGTTGTTCTTTAATGATTTAATATCTTTCCAAAAAATCTATTTATTGGGCAAGCTTTAGATAAGAGCCATTCAAATCTAAGCTCTCTAATCTTATTTCTAAACAAAAACCTGATTAGTACTGTATTTCTAGTTCATAAGATCTTATCTTGAAATAGTGTATTGCTTCATGTGTCTCAGAATTTGTTTTTCTTTCTTGGCAGCCACCAAATCACTGCATTATCATCTTCAGGTCTCAGCTTGGTCACCAAATGAAGTAGGGTACAATGGGATGCCTTGTCAAAATAGGTGAGTTGGTTGAGATGGTGAGAGTGCAAGAAGAATGAAAAATCACAACATAGTAAGGATGGTAATGGCTGAGTAGTAAGAACAGAGAAGCATGCCTTAACAGACACCTAAGCTCATAAGGAATAATAGTACTAAAGAGCCTGTACTAATACAGGCAGCTCTAATGAGAAACAGTGGCAAGCTTTATGAACAAGAGATCTTCATATTCTCTAACTAATAACCAAACTAGTAATAAAGAATGAGTGTGTAGAAAAGTACAAAGGTGCATGAAGGTATTGAGCAAGATGCAGAGGCTATGGGTGGTTTATATAGCTCAGAGATAGTAGCTGGAGGGGTTTTGTGCCTTGGACTGGAACAACCTTTGTTCTAATATGGTACCAGAATCCCCACTACAATATTCTCAGAAATGTGCAGCAAGTTGAGAGAAGGCATTGGTTGTATTAGTAACAAGACAAATTTATTGTCAAGCAAAGATTAGTAAATCAACTCAAGTATATCAAGACTGTTATCAAATTTTGTTATCTTTCTAAGAGTATTTGCAAATGTATCTGTTGATGCTAGATTATCAGTAATTGAGCTCTCATTAAAGATAGTGGGTAGAGCATTATTGTCTGGCTGAATCTTGAGATTGCAAACCAGCTCTTGAACCACAAGTTAAATTATATGAGCAAGACAGAATATTGTTCTACTCTCTGCATCTCAATCAGTTATCTTGTTTAACTGCTGCAATGCTGGCCTTAACTGATATATAAGATGTGCTTGCATGGTACTATTGTTTAACATATTGTTACTTGTAATTGCAAAAAGATTGCTCTCAAGTCTTCATACTGCTAGTGATTGTTGGAGAATCTCTATTATATTCTTGCCAGTATAAGCACTCTCTAAACTTTTAAAATCCAGTAAATGCTCACAGTACTCCCAATTCTTTGTAATATAATAACTATTAATTGCCATAAAGGCAAGATTATTGGGACTTGTCCAATTATTCACTGCCAGAGATATCTTGATTATTGGGTCATGGTTAAAGAGAAGATTTTGGAATAGCTAATTATATATATCATTCATGATCTGATATAATATTTCTCATGTGGATATCTGTAAAGCCATTGCAGAATTAAGCATGATTATTAATGTGTGGAATGCTGGATTCTCAATAGCATGAAATAAGAGATTCAAGAATATTAATGTTTGCACAAGCTGCCAGAGAAAATTATCTTAATTACATTCAGAAACAGGCAGATCTGAATCTGTTCAAGAATGCTTCAGAAACTGTTGCTAAGACATCAGAATTATTACTAAAATTTGTTACATTTGGAAAATTAGAATTCATGATCTATTATCATGTTAACCAGAGTATTACTCTGTCTGTCACCAGTTTTTGTACAATCTTTACTCATTAAATGCTTCTTCAGACCACTTGTACTGTTTTGAAAAAAGCTTGAATAACTAAGAAAGATTTGACAATGCTTGCAAATTATTTCTGAAGTACTCTTAGAATACTCTGCCATCTGATCAAATTTTGACTAAAAATCAGAATGATATTGCTTTGCCTTTCAGTTGAGATTATCATGCTTCTTATTATTAATCAACTGAGCAGCTTCAGTAGTCAACCATCAAGTAACAAATAACTTATAATGCAGCTTCTTCCACAATACAAATTGTTTTTTTCCATGTTAAACTATGATTAATTCTGAAGAAATCTCTGTAGATTTTGCTTGTTTGCTGGCTTCAGTTATTAGATTTTTCTTTTTTTTTTTTTTTTTTTTTACAATCAAATTGATTTTTCTCTAAGTTCTGCCTTAATCAAAAAAGTAACAAAATGTGGTCAGAGCTCACACAAAATTTGATAATCTTTAGATAATTAGTCTCATTTTATTCTGTAAGTACCAGCAATCAACTACAAAATCTTCTTCTTCTACAAAATGGAACATTCTTCTTCAGGAAAATAAAACATTTTGCTAATTTAATGGCACCCCATTCTCAAATTAATATGAAAAAAGAACTAAAAACCTAACTTTCTTCTCTAGATATTAATAATTTAATTATTCTCCATCTCATTGTCCTTCTCATCATTCTCATCAGAGAACACCACAATCTCAAAATCATCTTTCTTCATCTTCTCTGGAGCAGATGAGCTGTTGTTATCTTTATTCAGACTTTGTAATTAATTCAGAAATCCCTTCATCTTCTTCTCAATTCTCTCTCTTGATACACTGACTGCAGCAAGATAATTATAACTATAGATTATGATCTTGGCCTCAAGTCTGGCTATTATTTGGCAGAATCAGGCCTCCCTACATACAGTAATAGGATGCTGTGTCTGGCTTGTTTTGATCTAAATATGTCAGAACCATTATCAAATTTCATTACTTTTAGATTCTATCTTCTTTTTCTGTCAAGCTTCATTTTCAGTCTCTGTAGTCTCTTCTCAGTAATGCTTCTTCTCTTTCTCTCTCTTCTTTTACTGAGAGATCATAAGCTGATGCTTATGGTACTTCTTTAACTTGCTCTTGGCAAATCACTTGATTATTAACTCTTCAATAACTTTATCTTTAATTGTCTTGCAATCCTTCTCACTGCTATTCTGTCTGCAATGAATGTTAATATGATTTAATGCAAACTACTGAGAGTGCATACTACCCATGTTTTGCTTGAATTCTCTTTAGCATATTATAGTGTGCCTTGCAATCCATCTCTCCTGTCTTGAATATGTCTTTTTAATGATCTTTCAAGGTCTGGCAGTGCTTCTGTGCTGCATGGATCTTCTCTCTTATTGAATATTGTTTTGGCCCCATCTTCACAATTGTATGTGATGAGTTGAATTGCTAGCTACAGGATAATAGAATTATAGAGTGTATTAATCAAGTACTGTAGAATGGTTACTATACACATTGTTTACATTCTACAGGCATGTTGCTATAGGCAAGATCAATGTGTTGTTGCTATGCTGGCTACAGGATAATAACATCAGATCAGTCTCTCTTCTCTTCTCTTTCTCTTCCTCTTCTTCTTCTTTCTCTTCAGAGCTAATGTTGATGATTCCCCCTCTCTCCCCTTCCTCCCCCTCTCTACCATCTTTTTATTTACTGCACTTCAACATCTGTGTGTACAACAAACATATACTGTGACAAAATGGGTTGCATTAAGAGATGAGTGCTTGCAGAATACTGCTCTGGCACATATTATTTACTGATAAGATGTTAGTTTTCTCTGTGCATGTTCATTTTACACAGCTGGAGAGGAGCAGCACAAGACCACATTGAAAGAATGGGCCCTGAAGAAGAGCAATTAGTATAAAGCTAATAAAGATGTTGATCTGGCCAACTTTAACCAGAAGAATTTCTGCCTCTGTCCCCCTGTTCAAAATTGGAAGGCTGGCACTTGTATGTTAAAAAGTAACAATTTTTGGTAACAGTCTTGATGCTAATTGATGAAAATAGGTGCTATCAAGAAAATCCATCACTTTCAGAGCTCTACTGAACTAATCTTGCCAGTGGCCCTGTTCCAGCAATTGATTTGAGAAATTACTTTGTCCTGTCATCAAGAATATAAATATTGCTGGTAATGTACTGTCATTAAGTTACTTTAGAAGACAGTTAAAGCAATCTTGTGTGCTCTGTTTGAGTATAAGTTACTCTTAGCAATAGCATCAATAATTATACTAAGTAATATAGGCTCTATTATGACAATGGTGCACTATAAGTGTATTACAGTTAACACCAATAATATGAAGCTTGTTCTTAGCATCAGTGCCAAAATCAGATTGAACTATTTCAGCCTAATTGATGCACCTGATCATCCTACCCCTGCCATCACTACCCACTGCCTGCATGCTGCTCCCATCCTGTCAACTACTGCTGCTGCTGCTTCACCACCACCACCACTGTCCACCACCACCTCTCTGCCTCCCCCTGGCACCATCAGGGTCTTTGCCTGTCAAATAGCAGGTATTAGAGCCCCTGTCTGGTTCACAAAGCTGGTTCTGGAGGAGCAGGAGGAGGAGGAGAAGGAGAAGAAGAAGAAGAAGTAGAAGAAGGAGAAGAAGAAGGAGAAGAAGAATGATGATAATGATGAAGATGATGACAATAATGATGATGAAGATGATGACAATAATAATAATGAAGATGATGACAATAATGATTAACTTGCCATTTAGGCAGTTTCTGTTTGTTTACTGGCTTCAGCTATTAGTTAGTTTTAATACTTTATTTCTTTTAAGAATCAAATTGATTTTTCTATGGGTTCTGCCTTCATCAAAAAAGTAACAAAATTTGGTAACAGTCCACATAAAATTTGATCAGTTTGACTCTTCCCTATGAATTTGACACAATAGGACCAGGAATCCTGATCCCATTCCAGTCCTACTATGGATCCAGCCAGAATGAGAAATGGGAGTCTACCATCTCTGCTGAGATGGAATGTGGGACATAATTTTCTATTTGAGGATGGGACCAGGAAATAATTTCTGGAATAGGGATGGGAACAGAATCTCAAGCTCTTGAGTGGGATGAGACATGGAACTGAGATTTCATATTTGGGATTCCAGCTGTTTCTAAATTCAGGACCAGAACCAGGTTCAATGGAAAATGGAATTCTGTTCCAGTCCTGAATACCAGTCTAGTTAAGATTTATTCTGAGTTTCTTTTATAATATCTTGGTGCTGTAATAATTGCCTGTATTTCTCTGGACTGTAGTTATAATTCTGCCTCTGAAACTGTTACTGATTGGTAAATTATAGTCAGAAGATTAACTCTTTCTATATCTGTAACTTCTGACAGTATAATTTCAGATTCTTATTAATAAAGTTTTTGTTCAGAGAGCATGCTATCTGTAGCTGTAGTTCAATACTATCATAAATGTATTGAATAATGTGATCTTTGTCAGTTATACCAGCTTCATTCAGGAGGTTTATCTTTCATGTCAGAAATTTAATTATAGGAAGTTCATCTCTTATTAAAAAGTGTATCTTAGATAATTTGCTTTCTGAGTGACTGTTATTTTTAAAATATAATACTGTTGCTGTAACTGAAGTTTTCATTTATATATAGATATGTTCATTCTCTGTCTTGTCTATAAGATGAGAGCAGTATATTACTTAAGAGCATCTTCTTTCAAATATTATAGCAATACATGGAGAACAGCTTTCTTTAATTCAATAGCTACTATTTGTTCTATATAATAAATAAAAAATTGCACTCTAGTTTCTTTAGAATTGAAGAGCATGACTTTATTGAGTTTCAAGTAAGTTGTAGTTTCTTATTTGTTACAGCATGTGCTATAGTGCCACCATCTTGTATCACCCCTTCTATAAGAAGGTGAGTGAGATGGTCTAAGATGATACCAGTAATATGAATGATCATAGTCACTGTCTGATAAGTCTGATTTACTTGATAAAGATGGTTTCCCATTTTTATCTTATAACATATGTTCATGATTATAAGCTGATGATTGTGAATGAGATGAAGTTTGGTGATTATAAGTGAAGAAAGATCTTCTATTATTATTTCTGATTATCAAGAAAATGTTTCTGGTCTGTCTAGATTCAACTGTTTCATCACTATAAAAGAATGCATCTTGATGAGCTTCATGATATTGTTGAGAGAGATTCTCTTCACTCTCTTGAAAACAATCATGTAACTTTCTATTACTTGCTGACATGTTTGCTGATAAGTTAATCTGTAGAGCTCCTCTACTAACTTCAAGAGAGTTAAGATCTCATATGTTCAGAACAGAATAATGAAAACTCTCAAGAAAACTTATTATAGCTGTTAATTTATTCAAGTTAATATTATCAAGTAATAAAGTGTTGCACTTTTTGCAAATGTAACAGAAGTTAGTTTGCATTTCAACAGAATTCTTCTCAGAAGAAAGAGATATTTATTTTAAAAATATGATGTATCTCTCATTCTGTTGTTGTGGACCCTGTTGGAACTATTCAATCTATTGTTTGAAGAATCTAACTTCAGTATATAACTTTCTATCTGAGTTTGTGAAATCTTTTACTGCATTCAATAAAATCTTTCTCTATTAAGCACTTTCCAGTATATATACTACTTCTGCTCTACTGTAATTCTGTTCTGATAGAATATACTGCAAATATTGTAGATCATCTTCAGAAAAGATATTATAATATAATAGCACAAGAAATGTGTCTGTTGTAGTATGGATTCCGGTACCATATTAGGACAAAAGTTGTTCTGGTCTGAGGCACAAAACCCCTCCAGCTACTATCTCTGAGCTATATAAACCATCTATAGCCCCTGCATCTTGCTCAATATCTTCATGCACCTTTGTACTTTTCTACACACTCATTCTTTATTGCTAGTTTGGTTATTAGTTAGAGAATATGAAGATCTCTTGTTTATGAAGCTTACTACTATTTCTTATTAGAGCTGCCTGTATTAGTACAGGCTCTTTAGTACTATTATTTCTTATAAGCTTAGATGTCTGTTAAGGCATGCTTCTCTGTTCTTACTACTTGGCCATTACCATTCTTACTATATTGTGATTTTTCATCCTTCTTGCACTCTCACCATCTCAACTAACTTGTCTACTTTGATGAGGCATTCCATCATACTCCACTTCATTTGGTAACCAAGCTGAGACCTGAAGATGATGATGTGGTGATTTGGTGGCTGTCAAGAAAGAAAAATAAATTCTGAGACACATGAAGCAATACACTATTTCAAGGTAAGATCTTATGGACTAGAAATACAGTACTAATCAGGTTTTTGTTTAGAAATAAGATTAGGGAGCTTAGATTTGAATGGCTCTTATCTAAAGCTTGCCTGATAAATAGATTTTTTGGAAAGATATTAAATCATTAAGAAACAACAGAATATACTGTATGATATGACTAAAGATCAAGAAATCAAGAAATCAGAATCAGAATCAACTATAGTTGAAGGTACTACAGAATTGTATGTGACTATGTTACAAGATGAGGACAGAAGAATTGTGGTTCACTCTTACATTTCTATGCCTTCCTCTGGTATGGCAAATGCATCTTGGTTTGATGGCAGAGATGCTATCTTGTTTATTGAAAGATTTTATCAAATGTGCAAGAATCATGGGGTAATTGACTCTAAGAACATTATTGAATGGTTGACTAGATACTGTATTATATGGATTGGAGAATGAATGAAGACCTTAGAAGACTACAAGAAAGATAATTGAGAAGTATTCTCTAAAGAGATTATTTATAAATTTTGTAATCAGAACATTACTTATAAGATTTACTGTCAGAATTATCTTTAAGTAATTATAAAGAAACTGCATGCTTAGAATAGCAACATTCACATCTATATTTGAGAATACACTACTATTGCCAGTACAGTACAAGCCAATGAAAGACTTGATGAATTCACTAAGATGTCTTGGTTTCTTCAGAGGCTGCCTGAGAAGCTCTGAAATAAGATTATTGACAAGACAAAGCTCAATCTTTCAGATGATATGTCATCTATTGATTTTAGAAAGGTTGTTTGAGTGATCATGGATTTGATTGACCAGTATGAAGAGAATAAGAAGATCTTTGAAGAAGATAAAATGAAGCAGAAGAAAATGAAGAAGCTTGATAAGTGATATTAATTAGCTAATAAACTCTCTACAGTTGAGGCTTTGAAGAAAACAGCTAGTTCTGTAAAGACTGAAGAATCTGAATTGAAATTTAAAGTCAAGAGCTCTGAGAGCATCAATATTAAAGCTATAATTGAAAAGATGACCAATAAGTTTACAAATTTGATATTGGCCATGAGAGTACAGTCAAATCAGATATAAGAGAATTCTGATCAGTACTATATGCTGCAGAGAGAAGGGCCTCTGAAACCCATATCAAATTATACAACAAATGTGACTACTAATTCTGTAATAATACAAGAGAACACCCAACCACAATTAGTTAATTCTTATGTGACTTGAAATGGTTTGCTGATGACAAGCTATTGTTCTAGTAACTGAGGAGAAGCTTGAACTGGAGGAATTTCAACATGTCTCTCATACTTTTACTGTGGAAAATCTAGACACTATCAATCTCAGTATTATAAATACTAATCTGATGCAAATAACAGGTTCTGTCATATTAATAATAAAGAGAACTTGTGCATGGGTTTCTCTGATTAAAACTATTGAGTTGTCACTTCTAAACCTGGAATACTGAACATGTATATTGTATAATCTATAGAAGAGGATGAATAAGTGATTCTGAAGTTGACAAGCTCTAAAAAGAAGACTAATCAGCAAGAAGAGATATCTCCAGCAAATTCAACTAGTGTGAAGGTTCAAGCAGGATAACTTGCATATCTAATATCTGATGAAGAATCTGATTCAGATAAGAAATATAAATCACTGGAAGAAAGAATATCAGTCAATGTTAAAACTATTGAAGAAGCTAAGAACAGTCAAAAAGCTAAGATTGCAACATCTCATACTCAGTATACTGGACAATTTATTACCTACTGGAATAATCAAGCTAGTGTTGATAATAATATCATGGAAAATGTTGAACTGATTAATCAGAAGAAGTCTGAAATTCAAAACAAGACTGTAGAGAAATAAAGATCAAGATATTCTGCAACAGATTGTTTATTCTCTCAGATCTGTAATTCAACAGATGCCAATGAATTAATAGGTTGAATTCTCAATGAGAAGATTGAAGTGTCAGTCAAGAAGCTTATAGATGTATTGCTGAAGCTTTATTAAGTATTCTTTAAATCAGGTTGGAATAACAGTACTAGCAAAAGCCATGCAAAGATTGAAGTCTCTGAACTGGTTCAGCCTGAGCTAAAGATTAATTCTGGTTGACTTATATTGAAGTCCATGGTACCAAAATTCAAAACAGTATATGGAATGCATTTGTTATATGCATCAGTCACTATAAATTAACAAGAATTAATGATATTAATTGATACTGGTTCAGAAATTAATTTGTTGTCTCAGAAGTATGCTGAAATATTGAATCTGCTAATGAAAAATAAGCTGTAAGTGACTATAGTTGTTCAAATAGGAGAAGTTGCTTCTTTTTATATGTTTTGT